GTAATTCAGTTTTGCTTTAGATTTTGGAATAAAACAAGTAGGCAAGGCATTGACCTATTTTCCGTATAGTTGATTTTGACAATTAATTAGCAATTTGCTTCCGAATGGTCAACTTCAATTTTGAAATTGAATTTTATATAATTGAAATCTTTTTTTCGAATTTTCCATCTAACAATAATTTAATTTAAAAAATCGGGCTATCTGGTACACATGAGACGCAAAATTTCAATTTGCTCCCAGGTTCGAGCTATTCGTCGAGATATATTCTACATCAATTTTGCATAGTTTTCTGCATCAGATAGTTTACTCCACTCCATATCAAGATCTGTAAGGCCGGGTACTAGACCCCTCAGTTAAAGTTAACTGCCAGTTAACTAACTTTACCTCAGGAGTTAAACCCGCAGTTAACTTTCGACAGTTGAGTTAAAAATGGTCGCCGCCGAGTTAACTTTTTTTCCTTTTTTCGAAGAATTCACTCGGCCGGGGATGCTATGACTCGATTTTTCGAAAAATAAAAAAAAGTCAACTCGGCGGCGACCTTTTTTAACTCAACAGTCGAAAGTTAACTGCGGGTTTAAATCCGGAGGTAAAGTTAGTTAACTCGCAGTTAACTTTAACTGAGGGGTCTAGTACCCGGCCTAACTGAAGGTCCTCGAGCGATAGTCATGTTAGCAAATCAACTCTTACATTCGAAAAAAATTAATGAAATTCAACAGTTAATTATGAAAATTCATGACGAAGAAGACTGTCACCCACGAACGAATGATGCTATTGCCGCCATTTTCGAACTCGGTCAATATACCATCGATACAAATTTTTTATGCTCTCATTTCATCGGTTTAGATAATTATTTTATTACTAGATCGCGAAAAATCATAGAAAAAACACAGGAAAAAAAAATATCTTGGAAACTATACGATGGATTCAATTCTAAAAAGGGTCAGTCGATAATCCTTATCGAATCCTACATTCAAAAAAAAAATCATAGACTTTGATAGATTGGTTATTGAGAAAATCGAAAAAAAAAACAATTTCTAACGGACATATATGAATATATATGTACATACAGACATGTTCTAAGCCCCGATTAAACTCCGACTGGATACCTCTTTAGCCCTCATTAAGCCCTATCTAAATCCCAGTTAAACCCCGACTAGGCCCCAACTAAGTCCCGACTAAACCCCGATTAATAGCTTTCAGAAGAAAAATCTATCAAATCAGGCTGTCACCCACGAACGAATAATGCTATTTCCCCCATCTTCCAACTCGGTTAATATACCATCGTTACAAATTTTTTGAGCCCTTATTTAATCAATTTGAAGAATTATTCTTTGACGTATCGTCGAAATAAAAAAAATCGAAAAATGTTAATAACTCAAAAACTATACGGTCGATTGAGTTCTGGAAAAAGTCAATCGAAAACTCTTATTAAGGCCTACATTTCAAAAATAAAAAATGAAATTTCATGGATTGGTTATCGAGAAAATCGAAAAAGAACGATCTTCACACACATACATGCATACATACATACATACATACATACGGACACGCTCTAAAAATGGCATATTCGGACTCCTGGGACCAAACTTAGTCACCCTAGCACAAAAAATCGGAAACTTCAAATCAAAGGATTACATAGCTTTCATTCGGAAGCAATATCATCAGTCCTTATCATCATTTTCTCATCACCTCTATTTGATTCTTTCTCAATGTATCAGCTTCACTCCCTGTTCATTTTTCTTCTTCAGCTATCGTCAGGCTTGTCATGAATGTTGCATTAAGCGATACCGTTCATATACGTCATATATTATCATTTATATTTCAAAGATGGTTTTGACCTATCGATAGATTAATGTATCATTCACCTGTTGGATACAATTTTCTTTACGTTCACTCACTTTCAATTCCTATCCAAGCTATGTTCTAATAATTACGTCTTCTCATGATGTCAGCCAGAATTTCCCTTCAAATTTCAGTTGTCAGGCTTCTATTTCTGACTATCCCCTCGAATTTCCAATAAATAATCTCCAAAGATTAATCAATCTTTCGCAATAATTTCCTCCAAGGAGATTTTTTTTTTCTCTATAATTATGAAGGAAATTACCTTCCGGGCTTCAATTCAGTGTCTATCATAAAAATTCGTGAATTAGATGGTTTCTTTCATGTTTCATCATCTCATAATTTGGCTGATAATCATTGCAACTAATTCATGATCAGAATAAAATAACCCGTTGTCTCCACCGATGGATTACTCGTGCCCCTCCCCCTTCCCCTCAAGTATCGGTCGGTTTTGAGAAATTAAAAATGAATTCCTCAAAATTATTTCAATCCATTTTTGTAGGGAATTCTTCAATTAACATTTCTGAATGTGTTCCATAATTTTCTGCATTTTAATGGTTGTCCCAAAAAGGGTGGGGACGTCGGGTTGATTGATTGATTGATTTATTTATTTATTCATCATAAATTACTTTTTCGAATTTTCCGCTGCCGAGACCAATGAAATTGTTGACACATTCCCAGATTGTAAACATATCATGATTCACATCAGGTTTCCCTCAGAATTCTCTCTAAAATTTCTCAAATCTAAAATAATGTTTTTTGAAGATAATTATCACCATGTAGCATATATTTACTCGCTAATTGCGTCGCTTTCTATAATCGCATGATGATGACCCTTATTATTTTATTCTTTCTTTCCTGAGTTTTATCTCATTCTCCTTCAAGTTCTAACTTTAATTATTGTGTATACGAATCCCTACTATATCGACGAAATTCATGAACTTTCAAAGTGTACCTTCAAAGGAAACAGTAACCACAAAACTGTCAATAACCGAACTAATAATAACAATTTCATTTCTCTACATTCAACTCATCTCGCCAACTTCAGATTTCTGGTACAATTATCAATATTGACCTGACATCACTACAATTCCATAACCACCGTTCTTCCTCCTCTCCCCAAGAATAATTTGATAATATCTATCATTTACAACATTTCTTACATTTTTTTTGCTTCATTATGGATGAACAAAACTCGGTACAACATCAATTATTCATCTATGCCGATTCCATTTTCGGTCCGAACAATTGGTCTCATGAAATCATCAATCAAAACATTGGTAATTCCATCCTCATTTATATTCAATTAATTAAACGAATTCTACATTCAGTAAATCCTCCTTCAACGCTGTATCATTGATATAGACTTTTTAATCCTCCCATTTTCTAGATTTCATTCAGGAGACAAACAACTCGTTTACGGTGGGATGTTCGACGGTTATTAAAATCACTTTAACTAATGGAAGATATCATTCAGATTGCGGTTATTCTGAGAGTATTGCTCAAAAGAAAGGTCTTGCTTTTTTGAAGGCCAGACTGGTAGATATTTCTCTTTATGACTTTCTATCGGATAACTGCTCATATTTATTTCCCCCTTTCACTGATTAATTTCATAGAGTTCTTCAACAAATGCATTACGCCGTGCCATGTCTGCATTTTGCGAAACCAGGGCTTAAAGGAACGAAAGTCAGAGTCAAATCCCACCTCATACCCATAAACCTCATGCTTCTGTGATAACTCCTCAACAATCGAAGTCAAAGAGATTGAAATTGCAAGCTCAAAAAAAAGTGAATGGCAATCCCGTCATCCACAGCATTTCCACAATGAAAGTAATTATTTCCTCCGCTTTCCACCCCTATTTTTCTGATAGTTTGGTTTTCTACAATATTTTGATATGGAATTATTATCAAAGAATCAGTATTAACATAAAAAATTAATTTCCCATCCAATGGAAAGAGGGATTGGATGCTGCCAGGGAAATTTTGTAAATAAATAGTTATGAGTTTATTTTGTAAATATCTTTAAAAGGGAAAGGTTTAGAGGAATTTATCAAGAAACATTGTTTGAGATTGAAGCTAAATTGAAATGCCGGTTGGGAAAAAAGTGGAATTGTGGAAGGAGGTGGAAAATTAAAACACGCGGAATTATAAAACCACACTGTTGATGTACTTTATTGTGGAATAACCCACGCGTCTTGATAAATTAATATTATTACACTGTTGAGTTGCTCGACAAGTCAATAAAAATGATTGTTTGAAAAATGCACTGCACTTGAGATTCTCTCGATATTGAACTTGATAATTGACTCAAATAATTGATAATTAACTCGGAATTAATTGATAATTGAATTGAATTAAATAGAGACGCTATACAAAGCGCTAGATTTAAATATATCGCGTCGATGTACTCCTGTGATGTACTCGATCGAGCGGTTTTGGCAATACAATTTGCGATTAGAGTGACTCTCTCGGTGGCTAGAACGATACTACTTCTTTTTCGGCGATTTTCTTCGTTGCTGACCGTGATCCCGACGGGTCCCGAAGTTTCTCGAGAATTTCGTTGAGCCCGGTGACCGTTTGACTAGTTTGAATAGCTGAATTTCAAGTAAACATTTTTTGTAGCCCACAAAATTCTCTACGAAAAAACTCTTTTGATAAATTTCTCTAAACTTCTTCCTTCCGAAGAAACTGCCTATCGATTTTGAATCATTTGAAAATATTGAATTTCCTCACTGATCATTCTCTTCATATCTTCCAAACTGATCAGTTCATCAAAAAATGTCACACGACCTTCTTTGTAGCTCACAAAATGCCNTGTCGTTGATTCCACTTGTAGATAGCTTGGTATCTTTGAAGACACTATCTGAACCACCTGGACCAGAACTGCTGTATTTTTTGGGTAATCAGATTCCATCTCCGCAGCTTGCTGGGGTTCTCATTGATGATTGATGGCTCTGGAATCACCTGTAGAGGCTCACCGATTAGGAAGTGACCTGGGGTGAGTGCTTGGAGGTCTTCTGGGTCATCTGACATGGGTGTGATTGGCCTGGAGTTGAGGCAGGCCTCTATCTGGATTAGAATGCTGTTGAGTTCCTCGTAGGTGAATGTCGTCGACCCAAGTACTCTTTTAAGATGATATTTCGTTGATTTTACCGCTGCCTCTCATTTGCCACCGAAATGGGGAGCTCTCGGTGGTGAAAAGCTCCATTGAGTCCCGTTGGTGGCGAGAGCAGCCTGGATCTGTTGATTCTCTCTGGTTGGCTGGTTGTACAGCTTGTTGAGGACTGTTGAGGCGCCAACGAACGTGGTTGCGTTGTCACTGTACATAACCTCGGGGATGCCTCTCCTTCCGGTGAATCTCTTGTAGGCTCCGATGAATGCGTCTGTTGTCTGCCTGGAAACGAGCTCTAAATGGACTGCTGATGTACTGAAACACACAAATACTGCAATATGAACGCTAGTTGGTTGGGCATTTGTGGGTCGCCATTTGAGAATGGGGAATGGGCCGGCATAGTCCACCCCCGTATGGAGAAATGCTCGTGAAGGTGATATTCTCACTGCAGGCAGTTGGCCCATTAGTTGCTGGGCCTGTCGTCCACGATGTCGGATGCAGGCAGGGCAGCGTGAGATATATGCTCTCACAGTACATCTGCCGCCGATGATCCAATACTTCTGGCGTGTGTGGGCTAGAGTGAGTTGAGTTCCTCCATGGAGTGTCCTTCGGTGAGCTTCTTCGATGACCAACGTTGTTAAGCGAGACTGACGAGGCAGGATAATTGGGTGAATCTCGTCAGGGTCTAGTTGAGAATTCTTAAGGCGGCCACCTAGCCTGATGATGCTCTCATTGTCTAGAGTTGGAGTCAGCTTTGCTAGTGGATGACTCCGTGGTATTTGATGGTCTCTTTCAAGTAGCCTGTGAACAGATGCAAAATATTGATATTGCCCAATTTTTACCCAAAACAGTCTGGCTTCGTTGAGTTCTCTAGAGGTTAAGACCGGTGTTTGAGGGACTGGCTGTCTTCTGAACCTGTCGATGGCTCGGTTCACGGTGGCTGTTACTTGGAGGACCTTGGCTAGTGTTGAGTATCTGTTGAGGAGCTCTGCTACGGCGTTGATCTTGATAGATGTCTGATGTGATGAAGTTGGCCTTGCTTCTGTTGATGCTTCGGCTGGAGAGTTAAGTGGTGATACTGGCCAGTTTTCAGGTTCCTGATTTATCCACTCAGGGCCTGACCACCATAGCTGATGTTCTGCTAGCTCCTGTGGTGATAGTCCTCTGGATGCACAGTCGGCTGGATTTTCCTTACCGCTGATGTGCCTCCAGGTAGCGTCTGGAAGGGATTCCTGGATCTTGATGACTCGGTTTTGGACAAAATCCTTCCATCTCGATGGGTGACTCTTGATCCAAGCTAGGGCAACACTTGAATCAGATCATAGGTACGTGTCTACTGCGTTGAGTTCCAGCATCTTCTGAGTTGCAACTATTTAGTTGAGTAAGCATGAGTGCTGCTGTTAGCTCGAGTCGAGGGATGGTCATGCGCTTGAGGGGAGCTATTTTTGTTTTAGCGCATACCATTACCGTTGATGCTGGTTCGTTGATTTGTTTGGTGCGAATATACACCACTGCGCCCATGGCTGCTGTTGACGCATCTGCAAATGCATCCGTGGATCTGGATGCTCAATGTCTCCGATGAGAGTCTCAGCCACCTTGGCACTGAGACTTGATTCAGTTGGTTGAGGTTCTCTCTGAAGCTTGTCCATTGATCTTCATTGAAGTGGTGTGTCCCAAGTGAGCTTGAGTTTCCATAGATCTTGGGTGATTATCTTGCCTCGGGTGATTACTGGAGCGATGAATCCCAACGGATCAAACAGTTGAGCGATTTCTGATGCTACTACTCTCTTGGTGATTGTTGCTGACTCGAACTGCTTTGATTTAAATTGAAATGTATCGGACGATTGATACCAATACAATCCGAGCACTTTGGTGATAGGCTCCTCGAACTGGATGATTGCCTTGCTCGTTGAGATTCCCAATTCCTCTAAAATGTGTGGGCAATTACTGCTCCACTTTTGTAGAGCGAAACCGCCTGCTTGACAGAGCCCTTGTAACTGCCATGCGATTTCTTTGAGGTGATCTTCTGTATCAGCTCCGCCGTAGATATCGTCGACGTAGCGACCTTTGGTGAGTGCCTCGACGGCTGCTGGATAGTGATGTCCTTCATCCTCTGCTAATTGTTGGAGAACTCATAGAGATAGCCATGGAGAACAATTGAGACCGTAGGTGACTGTCGTCAGTTGGTAGGTGATCTGCTGCTGATTTTCGCTGATCCACAGAATTCTCTGGAGATCCCAATCGTCTTGATGCACTCGAATCTGTCTGAACATTTTGACAATATCTGTCCCGAAAACAATTTTGTGTTTTCTGAGCCATGTTAATACGTTCATGGTATTAACTTGTAGCTTCTCACCCGGATAGAGGATATCATTGAGAGATAATCCTGATGAGCTAGGACTTGAGCCGTTGAAGACAACTCTCAGCTTCGTGGTGAGTGCGTCCTCTCTCAGAACCCCGTGATGCNGGAAGACACCTCTCAGCTTCGTGGTGAGTGCGTCCTCTCTCAGAACCCCGTGATGCGGTAGATAGTATGCTGTGACGGGTTGTGCTCCTTCTGGTGCTTTGCGCATGTGTCCCAGTGCCTCATACTCGTTGATGAATTCTCTGTAGAGCTGGGAATATGATTCGTCTGTCTGAAGACGACGTGCAACTGACTGGAGTTGACGTGAGGCCTTGAATTTAGACTCTCCGAGCGCTGTTGGTGAGGTCCGTAGAGGAAGTCTTACGATGTAGCGCCTAGTTTCGTCTCTGGTGTGTGTGGACTTGAAGAATTTCTCACACTCGAGTTCATCTGGTGATAGCTCTGCTGATGAGTTGGGAATTTTTGGTAATTCCTCCTGGTGCCAAAATCTTTGAAGAAGCTCTTGTAGTTGCTCGTTTGAAGATTCCTTTACGGCCAATAGAGAAACCCTCGGTAAACAACCACTGCATTCGATTGGACCTGATAGTATCCAACCAAATATTGTTTGTTGGCCAACTAAGTGAGTGTTTCTGGACCTGACGACTCTGCTCTTGATGATCCGCCCATAGCTGTCAGCCCCTATGATGATGTCTATTGGACCAGGTTTTAGATAATCTGGATCGGCTAGTTGAAGACCTTGTGGAGGGTCGATCCATGTTGGTGAGCACGAGAATGATGGTAGCTTGACGGTGAGTTTCTTGAGTATGTGAGCATTGATTTGCACTTGCTGTGATCCATCAACTGCTTGAAGCAGTACTGATACTGCTCCCCTCGTGTGACCTGAGTTTGTCTCTCCTATTCCGATTAACTCTATTTTTGATGACCTTCGTAAGAGTTGTAGTTGATGTACTAGTTCCTCAGAGATAAATGATAACTCTGAGCCTTGATCGATGAGCGCTCTTGCTTTGAGAAGGAAGCCCTTTGGAGATTGTGCTCGTACTTGGGCTGTTGCTAGAAGTGTATATTGCGGATCAGCTGCTAAATGATGACTGCTCTGCTCGATGATTGGCTGCTTGGTGATTTGCTCTTTGATGACAGGTGATGTTGAGGTACTGATCGCCTAATTGGTGATGATTCGTGTTGGTGATGCTCTGGATGCTGGTAGGTATAATTGAGAGCGATCAATGAGTGTTTTTAAATTAGAGGGAAACTAGGTTTTTACGTACACTCAGCCCAGCTCGTTCCTGGTTGGACCGTCTGTGGATTTTCTTCTCTTGTTGGGTTCACTGGAGCTGCCTGCTCAGCATCTCTGCCGTTGGTGTACGTGCTTCCACCATGGATGAGTGTGTGATGCCTGCGCTTGCAGCTGAAGCACGTCTTGGTGGACCTGCACTTTGAGAATAGATGTGGGCCCAAGCAGTTGAAACAGAGCCTTGTGCTGACCACGAACTCATTCCTCTTGATGGAGGACAGGTCGACCAACCCCTGACAGTTCGCGATGAAATGTGGTCCCTTGCAGTAGGCACAGTGCTCCTTGGGGAGCAGTCTGGTGAGCTCTCCTGGCTCCCTCTGTTGAGTGACTGCTAGGTGAGCATTTCTCTGACGTTGAGTTGCTCCATGCTTCTTGACTGGTGGTGCTTGAGGCTCGGTGGTCAGCTTGGCTCCAGCATTGATTCCTCTTGCGCAGGATTCAACGAAGCCGGTGAACTCCTCCAGCGTTGGGAAGTGCTTGGAATCTCCTAGCTTCAATTCCGATGCTCTGAGAGTCTCAGCATCCAGGGACTTCCTCAATAGATGAACGATCATCTGTTCACTGACACTCTCCTTGGACAAGCCTGTCATAGTGATCAGCTGATCTCTCGTCTCAAGGGCTGTCGCTGCATTGGCGTTAAGGTTCTCCGCAGTTGCCTTGGTGATCTTCGGGAGGTGGAGGATCCTGTTGAACACTGCTTGAGCGATGAGTCTGGGATCCTCATATTTCCTCACTAGCTTCTGCCAGGCCTTCTCATAATTCTCATCGGTCACCGTGAAGGTGTCGATGAGATTTGCTCCCTTGAGAGCCTCCTTGAGGCGTACTAGCTTTTGCACTGGCGGAATTGAATCGTCTTTTCCCACCAGTGACTGCAACAAGTCGCTGAACTGCTTCCACTCTGAGTATTTTCCTTCGAATGGTTTCAGTCCGATTCTCTTGAGTTGATTGGCTTGGCCTGATGTTGTTGATGTACTCGCTGATTCCCTCTTCTTGATGATTCCTTTGAGCTGATAGATGAGTTTGAGGCAGGGTTTCTTCAGCGTTGAAGCCCTCTGATAGGTGGTCTCAATAATATGTTGATGAGTTGACAGGAGGGTCTCGCTAAGTTTGTCTTGGATGATGAGCAATTCATTCCATTCTCCTTCGATGATTTTCTCCTGGCCGTCCAACTCCTCAACTGTGAGACCGCTAATGTTCTCGGCTGACTGCAACAATTCTTGATAAATATCATTAAATGACTTTACCTTGAAGTCCAGTTTATTTATTTGGAACTTCTGAGTCTCTGTGAGTTCGCCTATTGCAGGTCCCCTCTCGGCTACAGTGTGTTTAATTTCTTGTTGGTGAATGGAAGTCGCATTAGGGAACTGCGGTGTATTTTCTCCACTGAAGTGCGCTTGGGACGGATTCTCAGTAATTTGGATAATTGGCTCAATTACGCTTGGCGTCTCCTCAGTGCTTTCATCCATACGTTGATTATCTCCTAACTCTGCGTCTGACATGGTGGTCGTCTCTGCTCTGGGTGAGGTAACTTATCGATAATAGGTAGATACCGACTGATGTTGACTTGATGCCCACTGTCGATAAGGTAGGGCACGTTATTAGGTGAGGGCGCTCTTCCAACTGCCTGTTGGATTTCGCGTAGCGCGCGCGGCTTGGGCCTCGGCTAGTCCCGACGGAGACCGAGGTTTTCCGAAGTTGCACAGCACTAGAGGTCGAAATGTCACTACCGGTGTTTACAATACCGAACTTCAACTGTAAACACTGGGCACAACACTCTGCACTGTTGATTGTCTTGACCTGTCCGTAGATTTGCTCGTGTGGAACCCGAAAGTCCGTTACACACGAGGCGTCCCTTTTATTCTAGAATTTTCCACTCACTCTCACGCACTTTTTCCCTATCCGGCTCGAAGGACCATTTGTTTGAGATTGAAGCTAAATTGAGATGCCGGTTGGGAAAAAAGTGGAATTGTGGAAGGAGGTGGAAAATTAAAACACGCGGAATTATAAAACCACACTGTTGATGTACTTTATTGTGGAATAACCCACGCGTCTTGATAAATTAATATTATTACACTGTTGAGTTGCTCGACAAGTCAATAAAAATGATTGTTTGAAAAATGCACTGCACTTGAGATTCTCTCGATATTGAACTTGATAATTGACTCAAATAATTGATAATTAACTCGGAATTAATTGATAATTGAATTGAATTAAATAGAGACGCTATACAAAGCGCTAGACTTAAATATATCGCGTCGATGTACTCCGGTGATGTACTCGATCAAGCGGTTTTGGCAATACAATTTGCGATTAGAGTGACTCTCTCGGTGGCTAGAACGATACTACTTCTTTTTCGGCGATTTTCTTCGTTGCTGACCGTGATCCCGACGGGTCCCGAAGTTTCTCGAGAATTTCGTTGAGCCCGGTGACCGTTTGACTAGTTTGAATAGCTGAATTTCAAGTAAACATTTTTTGTAGCCCACAAAATTCTCTACGAAAAAACTCTTTTGATAAATTTCTCTAAACTTCTTCCTTCCGAAGAAACTGCCTATCGATTTTGAATCATTTGAAAATATTGAATTTCCTCACTGATCATTCTCTTCATATCTTCCAAACTGATCAGTTCATCAAAAAATGTCACACGACCTTCTTTGTAGCTCACAAAATGCCCTACAAAAAATGGTTCTAAAAAAATTTCTCCAGGCCCCTTCCTTTCAGAGATATTCACCAAATACTTTATTGAATTCATTCTAAAAAATTGAAGAATCTTCACGAATTTCCTACAGATGATTCTGGAAATATCCCCCAAGCTCATAAATTTCTCCATAAATGTCAGAAGACTTTTTTTGTAGTACAGGGGATTCTCTACGAGAACTTTTTACTGACAAATGACCCGAAACCCTTTCCCTTCCAAGCTGTTTGCAGAATAATCCAGTAATTCCCCTCCAAACCTCAAACCTATGAAAAAACCTCGGCATTTTCTCTCTCATTTGTTCAAATAATTATGACTGATTGAACCTATAATCCCTTCTAACCTCTAGTACCCCTGAATAAAAATCACCCAAAATTTATCTCCACAAAAATTCAAATCTTTCCACCAAGTTCATAAAAGACTATTCAGATATGCCATTTTGTCATTTCATAGGTAGTCCATCGACGGTCACTATTCCTCAATTTATACCGGACTCACCAAACTCATCAGATTGAAACAAAATTCAGCAGAAATAATAATTTTATACCCAGTACATCTTGATGAAAAAATAATAAAAAACAAGATTATCCGGATAAAGTTGATGTTTTTTTTATGTTGCAACTCTTGATTTATTTTTCTCTTTTTCTCTTCAATGCTTTTTCCTGATTGATTGGCCGACAACTTTGAACCTCCACATGACCATAACTGCCTGATTTTTCTCCTCCCAAGTTCTCCGCTCTGTTCTTGCTATCATAACAATTTTCATACCAATCAAAATCAGTTGTCATCATATACTAGTGTACATATTTCAATCTCACTTTTTTCATTGCTTTCCCAAATCCTCAAAGCTTCCATTAGCGCATTGTCCCAGTCATCATCCAAAACTAATCAAATGCATTAATCAGGAAAAGGATTATTTCTTTCAGCAATACTTCGAGGCGATTATTTTCTATTATTTCAACTTACGACATTTATCATTTTCCATGATTCCCCTTCTTTTTTTATTAACATTCCACTACTGTTTCAATTCCGAAGGGAAAAAAAGGGTTATATCAATCGGTACTTATTTGACGCTTTTGTCATTCATTATAAAACAAACGACATTGGCCCCCTCGTTCATAGAATATATCCATATTTTTCCTCTTCGTTTTCTCTCTCCCTTCGCATTTCCTCCCATTCATTGATTGAAAACAACAAAAGAGATTATTATCAAGAATTTATAAAATGGCAGTACACTTGCAATGGCCTTGCCCTATAGAGAATATTGAAGAAGGCATTCCGAGAAAGTGAGAATTTTTTTCGGTGTAAGCAAATACAAGAAACACGATAAACTAATTCGAAACTTCTTAAATAGTTTAACAGGTTCAATCGCGGATGTTCTTAACCTCGGTTCGGATGTAAATGGGGTAACAGTGCATGGTCTCATTCTTTTCAATGGATATTTTGACGCTAGCCAGAAGTATTTCAAGATAAAGATCTATAACATAAATTTGATAGCATATTTATACGATCTTCCAGCATATAAAGTTCGTTGAATGAGGTTAAATTAGTACAAAAATCAGGCAAAGTTAAAAATCATAAATGAAAAAATAATAATTACGAATGAACAGCTAGTTCACATTGAGAATGCTATACCAAGGATAGCACAGACAGAAGAGGACTGGGATTATGTACTTGTGGAGCATGAACCAGTGAGAATTGAATGGCATATATTAGACCCAACACAACTAAGTTTCCACAGAAAAATAAAATACGGTGACAAAATAGGACACATAAATCATAAGCCGTGAAAACGTGAACGCTGGGAAATTCCTTGTATCTCATTTTAATTTTGATAAGAATATGTGTGTCTATTTATCAGAACAATTTAAGGCTATTTTTTGATAGTAATAAAGGGATACGAATATTTTTCAGATCTATGGTGTAATTTCAATGGAGAGGGATGGAAATCAAGTGAAAAAATAGGAAAAAAGGAAAATTGGTGATTGAAAATTCTATCGGATTTTTTTCAGAAAAAAAAAATATTCAAAATCGATTTTTTCTCATAACAATGAAGGGATACGGATATTTTCTACTTTTATAATCGGATTTCGATGAGGGGAGACGGAAAAAAACATAAAAAAAGATCATTACCAAGAAGGAAAAAAATCGAATTTTCGATGTCGCCGCACAATTTTAAAATCAATTTTCTTTTTCGTATAATAAAAGGATACCCATGAATTCGATTCCTATCCATGTATTTCCATAGAATGAAGTGAAAAAATAGCAAAAAAGGAAAATTGGTGATTGAAAATTTTATCGGATTTTTTCAGGATAAAAAATATTGAAAATCGATTTTTTCTCATAACAATGAAGGGATACGAATATTTTCTACTTTTATAATTGGATTTCAATGAGGGGAGACGGAAAAAAAACATGAAAGAAGATCCATGACCAAGAAGGAAAAAAATCGAATTTTCGATGTCGCCGCACAGTTCTAAAATCGATTTTTTTCTTTACATAATGAAGCGATACCCATGAATTCGATTTCTATCCATGTTTTTCCATAGAATGAAGTAAAAAAATAACAAAAAAGAAGAATTGGTTATGGAAAATTTTATCCGATTAATATTATGTAATATTATCAGTATTTGAAGCTATGCATTGTTCGGGAGGTGATAGATTATTACCATTATTATTCACTTCTCCGTTACCTCGAGATAAGAGATATTTAGCGAATGCAATCTCTCCGGGTAAGGCTCGCATATTTTCTGATAATGAAAATATTGTGAAATTTCCCCATAAAGGCCTAAATTTGTTCGATGAATTAATCAACTCACATCTCGTAGCAGTTGGAGTAACTGCTGGTAACTGTCTGAGATCTCCACCAAATAGCATAATTTTTCCAACAAACGGTGAACCATTATCCATCAAATCACGGAATGTTCTATCTATTAATTCCAACGCAGATCTAGGTGCCATAGGCGCTTCATCACAGATGAAAATATCAACATTTCTCAAATACTCAGCATTCTTCGATTGACTTTTTATATTAGAAACCGAGTCTGGAAGTAGTGGGACAGCTATACCAAAAGTTCTATGGAGCGTTTTTCCTTGGGGAAGTAATATTGCTGCAATACCTGTGAAAGCCATTGTACAAATGGATTTTCCTTGAGCTTTCAATAAATGATATAAGTAGTGTAGTAATACGGGTTCTGGGGCAACGTTTTTGTCGTCGACCTGGTCGTTGGGGCCCAGTAGGGGGGTCAGATGAAAGTGGGTGGGTGGGTGGTTGATTAATTCGCGGGGTCGCGGTTCAATTCGTGGTTTGATTCGCGGGGTCGCGGTTTAATTCGTGGTTTGATTCGCGGTTTGATTAATTAATTCGCGATTTTTCCCTCGAAGTGACGAAAGGGTTGATTAATTCGCGGTTTGATTCGCGGTTTGATTAATTAATTCGCGGTTTTTCCCTCGAAGTGATGAAAGGGTTAATTAATTCACGGTTTAATTCGCGGTTTGATTAATTAATTAGCGATTTTTTCCCTCGAAGTGACGAAAGGGTTAATTAATTCGCGCGGTCGCGGTTTAATTCGCGGTTTAATTAATTAATTAACTAATTAATTAACTAATTAATTAACTAATTAATTAA